TATTCTCCCCCTTTCATAACCTACTTGTCTTGAGAGTAAATTAGCTTTTGTCATTTGTGTTCTAGGTTTGTAGGTTAGTACAAAGTCATAGTCCTACAGTTCTAACATTTAGTAGGCTTAGTAGTAGTTGAGCTTCTAAGGCACCTGAAAGTACTAGAGATTAAGGTGATCAGTCTAAATCTTAAACTTCTGTATAGTACTAAGGAGATATTAATACTACTCCTCTAGGGAACAGACAATTGTAAGGAGTTCCTTGTTATAGATAGGGTAGTTCTGTTCTGTTACAGAGAGGGATTCTGATTAGAATACTATCAGACACTACTTTCTATTAATGAACTAAGACAGTACTACTCTATTTGTAAAGTTGGAAGAGTTAGCTTTGACTTAGAACTTGTCTACAACTGTTAGAACTACTAATACAGGCTTACTAGTAATGGCCTGCTTGAGGGACTCAAACACAGACTACTACTAATCATTCTATTACTAAGAAACATCTTTGCTAGTAAGATTGTGAAGGGGCTAGACAATAGTACTAAAGTCTTGAATAAAGTATTAGTAGTAGTTTACAAACTCAAAGAATGCTTAGACCTGTTTCAGGTTCTAAGGTTGTAACTAGTTCCAAACTATAGTTACCTTTGCTAGATCCATACAGACCTCTCCTCCACTAATTACAAAGCCTAGATAATCTACTAACTCTTGTACAAAAGAGTACTTTACTTCTTAGAGGAACAGTTTATTATCTTAGAGCTGTTGTAGAACTGCTTAGATTAGTTAGTAATAGTGCTCAACTGTCTGGGTGAAGATCAGAATGTTGTCTAGATACACACTAACATACTCTAAGTTAATCAGATCTGTAAGAATGTGATTCATGAATGACTAGAACATTGTAAGTAAGTTAGTTAGTCTGAAGAACATTATAGTTGGTTTGTACAATCTACAATTGGTTTAGAATACAGCCTTCCACTCATCTCTGTCTCAGATCTGAATATTATTGTACCCCTATCAAATGTCCAACTTAGTAAAAACCCTGAATGTATACATCTTATTAATGAGCTCCTAAATTAGAGAGAGTAGGTACTTGTTTTTGATAGTACCCTCATTAAGACAATAATAATCCTAGACTAGACAGAGCTTCCTATCTTTCTTTTTGACAAAGAAGAAAGAGGAGGCTATAGAAGACTTTAAGGGTCAGATCTGGCTATTCTAAAGATTTTCCTAAAGGAACTCATTAAGTACCTCCTACTTGTCTCTGTTGAGTAGGTAGACCTTACAATCCTTAGGTTGGAAACCCTCAGTCAATTCAATTACATAGTCCTAGAGACAGTATTCAGGAAGCTAGTTGAATTCCTCTTTACTGAAGACTTTAGGAAACTCTCAGACAAAATCTAGTAGGCTGGGTCTACATACATTCTAGAGTAGAGTTGTTCTAAGAGGGTTCTAGTCTGGTTCTGTCTCAGACATTCTTCAGATTGACTCTGTTCTACCTTAACTAGAATATGTATCTACATATCTATCCTAGTTGAAGAAGAACAACTAGTCACCTTTATTAGAACTGTTAGTAACATTGAAAGTGTTTATATCTACTCAGAACAGTAGTGTAAGGTAGTTACAAGACTCAAAACACTGATTAAATGTGAGTATCTACTCTAACCAGTCAATAATAGGGTTGTAAGCCTTAAGCCATTTGAATCTAATAAAGATGTCTGTCTTTCTAAGGTTAGTGACTCTGAACTTGATACTTTCCTTATGATCCTAAATGGTCATCTGTAGTTGGACAAACTCAGTAATCTAACTATTCTAGTTTAGGGTTCTGTCTGTATTGTATACTAGGATTAGAAGTAGAACACATTAAGTAGGGAGATAGTGTTCCTACATAAAGGCCTTATTAATATATAAACTAATACATTTACTGTCTACTAGAGCTATTGTTTAGATCTAGAGGGATCCTGAGAAGAGAGCTAAAAGGATAGGAACTTAGAGCTAGTGTCTAGAATGTCCTCAGATGAACTACTACTTGTTCTGAAAGGAATATACAGCTTGTACAGTCTTGTTGTCTAAGAGGGTAAGTATATACACTAACATTTCCTTATTAACCTCTCTCTTTCAACAAGGACAGACTCATGTCCTTAGCTGTGAACTCAGCTGAGACTATCCCTACTTAATACTATAGACAAACTATTAAGTAGTAAACAGGGCTAGGTAGTGTTCTGAACATTCTAAGATCTTAGAATACAGAAGTAGTAAGTTGGATTGTATAAATTTAGACTCAGATAAAGTGTAAAGAGAAGAATCAAAAGAATCAGAAGAAATAGGAGAACTATCTACTTTTGTTTTCAACTTTTTTCTTTCTAATAAATAATTTTGTTGATTTATTTTTTCTACTTTTTCTGCTTTTCTTACTTTATTTACTTCTAATCCTACAGTGTCTATTGAATCAAAAGTAGCTATTAAAAGATCTGAGTTATAGTCCTTCAGTACTGTATTTACTGTTGAGCCTCTACAAAATCCTAGAGTATATAGTCAGGGTCTAGGAGTTCTGAGGTGACTTCCAGATTTGCAGAAAAGGCTTCTTACTACAAATCCTGCTTGTTACTTGTCATTACTCTAATAACCTAACAAATATACTGTTACTTCTACAGACAGTCCTTAATCTAGTGTCCTGACTTCCTACAGGTAAAGTATGCTTCTTACTTTTAGACTTCTCTAATGTCTATCAGAATAGATTGATTACAAATTACAGACAGATTGATCCAAGGGCTCAGAACTGTCAGAGCTAAACATATGTGTAAGTGTTCTATACAGACTTAACACATTCAAGCTACAGCTTAGTTAAAGGAAATGGTGTGTGTCTTCCACTCAGTGTAAGTGACCAGTTCTAGCATTATCTCAAGAATCTTATCAACCAGTTCTAGGTGAAGAGCTTTCTCAAGTATTCTAATAAGGACATTATTAAACCTAAGCACAAATCCTACCTTCTAGGCCAGAATATCAAACTCCTGAAAGAAGGTATTAGTAGAATGTTTACCCTGTTATAGAGACACAAGCTTGTTCTATACATTACACTTCTTATTTGAATTAATGAAGGAAGCACAGAGCTGCTCTATGAATTCTGAGTACAACTCATTGTTCTAAAGTCAGATCAGACTTCTGATCCAATGTCCTTTGATCCAGTTCTAAGTCTAGGTGACTGTATTACCTTCCTTTATGAAGGAGAGGACAAATAGGACACAATTAAGATCTGAGGATAGATTAGTCAAAGTAGTAGTCATGTATAGTTTGACTTAACACTAGAAGTCCTTAAAGTACTACCTGTTGAAGTTCAAAGGGTAGGCTACATACACTTTCTTTCTAGAACAGGTTGTAACTTCCAGAACAATCAGAACAGGTTCTAAAGGGGCTGAGAGCATGTGGTTGGTAAAGGCCTCTTAAATAGAGGTCTACACATATTAAGCTAGTTCTACTCATAACTACTGATCTGGTAGGACAGTAGGGGTGGCAGTTAGTGTAGGAGGGTCTATGTTTACACTACAAAGGAATCAGCACTAAACTAAAAGGGGTAATGAATAGAAGAAGGGTAGCAAAAGTTTAAAAGGGTTTAAAAAGTTTAAAATTTAAAAATGTAAAAAGGTTAGGACAAAGAAAAGAGATTAATACAATAGTAAGTACTAATGCTTGAAACATAGGAGAGTTGTAGGGTGGTAATGGGTAGTCTTGATCTAATGTTAGCAACAGTATAGAGGGGACCCAAAGGCTTAGCAAGGGGACTCAGGCTACAACTATCCTACACAACAGAAATACAGAATGTAAACACTAGAACATAGTTAGAACTTACAGAATAGGCAGAGAGAGAGAGTGAGACAAGAGTAGAGTATATAGAGTGAGCCTAAGAGTACAGGACTACCTGGAGTAGATGAGATCAAGACTACCAGACTAGTCTGATCTTGTATGCCTATATATACTAAACTATACAAGCACACTCAGGGAGTATGAGCCACTAAGAATGATAAGCCATGAAGAATGAAAGAAAGGAATGTCAAAGATAAAGGTACAAAGAATGAAGGGATGGACAAAGGGTAAGAGACTATAGAATGAACAGAGAATGAAGGGGTGGTCAAAGGAATGGAATGACAAAGTAAGGAAGGGTAGTAGTAAGAGTCAGCATGCATATAGTCCATAGACAGCACCCCTGAGGGACAGAAGTCCTGAGTTCTGGTACAGAAGGGTGCAGAACCCTCAGAACTGAAGGTAAGAGAGTAGAGAACTGTAACAATTACATACTTATGTTGGTCTCTAAGTGCTCAAGTCTGAAGATGAACAAACTGGTTTCACATCTTTCTTAAAGGCAATGTTGCTTACTCATCAAACAATAATGCTTAAAATATTTTTATAGAAAAGATTAATACTACTACTTATTCTAATTAGCTTTTTTTAATCTTATCTGTCATAGGTTTTAAGGTATACCCTGGAGCCACTTCTCTATCTTGTAATAATTTAATGATTAGTTACCGATTTTAAAGCTGCTAAGTAAAGGAATATATGTATATTAATAATAGAGTACTATTGACTATAGAGGGTACGTCTTAACCTATAGTGTAGGTGAGCACAGTAAGACCATTTCAACCAATGAAAATTCGTGTAACGCATGTGCTCCTAAGCATTATTATTATTGAATTTCCGTCCCGCTAAGGCACTCAAGACTTTGCTTAGGCATTTTTTTCAGGGACACGTTCAAGCTGTACGGATGAGGGGTGTGAGGCAAGCCCAACTGGAACGGAATCTATGATTTCTTCATTTGTAACGTGCAAGCTGAATAAGCACCCTGCCCATACAAACAAACCTGCCAGAATACAATCGTTCGAGAGACACGATACAAATCATAATAACAATACAAAGCATACATATTCGTGCGGGTGATACACAAATAAAGAGTCCGAGAATTAATCATCATAATCTATGTAATCGAACGAAAATGTCGATATCTATCGCATGCCTAGTCAATCCATTACTTCTGCGAGTCTAAATTTGCCCACGATACAAGCCGTCGCATGATGAGGGGAATCGCACTCCCTTCACAAGCACCATGCGCATCAACGTCTGTCGCCTGTTGGTCTGACAGCTCGTACGGTGAGTTAATGTGCCGACCAGGAGGAGGAATTACAATCTCATTCAGACTCTGGTGGAACTGGACGGTGCGGCAAGACAGATTAGCGAGGTCCGATAACCGATCATGCAGAGAGAACAAACGTACACAGTTGTCCTCCGCTCGCATAGCTCGAATATCACATATCGTTACATTGCGGCACTTCTCACTGCACCTTCGCGGCCAAGCACCTCGGACCATCCGTTCCATGTACTTCGCAAACGTCGCGTTATCGGACTCAAAGACCTCCGTTAGGCGATGCCAGAAAGCAGCGTCTAGTGGAGCAGAAGTAGGATAGGACTCTTGTAACGATTTGTCTTCGGATTCTGAAGGAACGGAGGCCACGAGAGGCCCATAAGTGTCTCGTGCGCTGTAGTAGAGTTCCCATTTGGCTATTTCGACACGTTATAAGTATATTTCGATCATCAAGAATAAGCAATACGGACGTGTGTTGTGATAGAACGGTTTGCTCATATTAGCTATAGAATAGTTATTTTTTGCCCGGGTAATGTTTAAAAAAATCAAGTTTTCTTACCAATATAGACCTTGGCATCCATGATGTCGTAGGTATCAGGATCTACATCGTAGACGGTGAATGCAGGGTTACCATCTACGTACAGATATTTCAGTAATCCATTCGTTTGACGATATGGTAAGGAAAGTTCAATGCACTGGTAGGAGTCAAAGATGGTGCAACAAGACCGAAACTCATTGCTGTATCCGCTCTCTGATCCGAATAATTCGTATATGCGATTTGGAACTGGTCAACATGCGTATGTCCAAAGAACTGCGCCGCAATAGTTTTGTGATATCGGTGAACTACCTGGTTGTAATAATTCGACTCGATAGGACCCTACGTCAGATCGCAAGTCATTTCAAGACGGACATGTTCAATTCACCTGGTCCCGCATCACATCACTCCCGCCCGGCGGAATGTGACCAAAAATCCAAGCATGTTGCCCGGCTTTCTCAGCCGCGTCCAACTCGGACACAAGGAAAGCCAGAAGACCATTTGGATCTGGCCTTTGGCTAATTTCAGTTTTACACGTAATTTGGACAACAGATATAGGCGCACTGGAACTCATCACTGTCGTATAGCCAGAAACTTGGAAGCATACGTCAGTAATGCAGCAATACACCAGGAACATGAGAAGCGCACTTGTATTTGTACCAATATTGTGTATTGATAGAAATCAATCTGAAACCGGCTCAGCTATGCCTCGACATGTAATTTCAAGTGCTCCTACTTCAAATTTGTGTCTGGGTGTACAACTGCGTATGATCCGGATGTATGCTGGACGGATGAAGCCCCTGCGTCGCCGATCCAACGCTGATACCATCACAAATCAATATAATTCAGTTGACTGGTAGATACACTTTCAGACGAACCGTCCAGTCACTGCTTAGCAAATCAAAGACCCATTTGGAACCATCGGACTCGTCAGATGTTGAGCGTGGGAATTCATTCGTTGGGTAGCCATCACTGACAGCGATGAGGTATCTTTAGTTTGCCGCAAACGTTTAAACTTTAAGTCGAACTCACTGGTTCCCTGGTTAGACAAGCTCGTCAGCCAATCAACAAATGAACATAATATTGAATGTTTAATACCGATGGAGCCATAAAATGTATTAGACTTAGAGAGATTTGCGAAAAGCTGCTCATGGAAGCCATGTAGTTCTCCCTCGACAATCCTAGAGGTCATCCAATATCAGTATATTGTTTGTACAGCCGTAACTTGAGACTTGCTCTTGTGAGAGGAGCCAATTGGCATCTATCAATTACAATTAGCACTTCCAGAACCAATGGAGAAATAATAATACGCACGGTCAACAACATCACCAGTCGAAATGGTGAATCGAGCGTTCGGAACCAACTCGTTGATAGCATGTAGCATACTATTTGCAAGTCTGATAGGAGAGTCGCAATGCTTGTTGCCAAACGGTTCCGCGGGATGCTTGACTTCATTGTCTGTTTCACTGTCTTTGGAAGAGAAATCTCTACAACAAATGTATTTCGTGCAGTTTGCTTCCGAACCAATCTAAAAATACAGAGAATAAATTTGCCAAGAACAATCTAGCTAGGCGGGGATAGCTGCTTACCAAATATTCGCGATCAATGTGCACGTCGCTAAGATGCACCACTTGGATCGGCTTGCGATTTGATGACACCACTTTCGCCCCAGTTGGACGCGAATTGGTGTTGCTATCGGGGAAAACGATATCATAGGGCTCAACCGGTTCGAGGTCGCACATTCCGAAGAGCGCGTTGCAGAAGAGACGAGAGGTACGGCCGTTCACAGAGATTTTTCGCAAAGCATGTGCGATGATAGGTCCCTGCGCGCCGATATCGCCTTCGCATATGTCCGGATCTTGTAGCTGAAAGTCCACAAATTCGTAAGTTCACGTGATGTACAAGATGCACGAGACGGATCCCCACCTTGCGCACTTTGCAGATGCGTGTCATCGAAGAAACGAAACTACCGTCACCAATAGTTGCAAGACGCTTCAGAGGGATAAGCATGGCCTGACATGACCTGCAGCTCTTCATTGTGTTGGCCTCGCGTGCGGCTGTTAATATGTCATTTTCGATGGATACTTCGTTGTCGAGGTTCAGAATCGTTTGGGAACCAAGAGATAGGCGTGCAAGCAGAACAAGCGCAAGCAAGAAGAACCCTAGCCTAGAAATGAAGCTCTCAGAGGCCATTGTGGAGGCCGTTGTTGATTGAGAGGCACAGAACGAGTGCGAGTGGAGAACAAGGACCTCTGGGAATTCTAACGTCTAGTTCCACAACTGTAAGGCTTCCTCTGCAGCTCTCAATAGAAGAGGAAAGCGGTAATTAGACAAGAAGACACAGATGAGAGATGGTAGAGTCTAAACAAGACAGCCGTGCTCTCCGAAGAGCATGCCTAAGGGGTGCGTGTATTATTGGAGTACTCCTGAGTCAGTGAGTCGCCATCTCGTTGCGTCCGTTTCGTCGCACGCGGTAGTGCCACTGGTCACGTGCGTCAATCTTGCCCATAACCTTAATAAACACGCGACGAACGTTCCTTGCTTCCCTTCTTCCATGTCCAACTTGATAACATACCTATGGTGACTAGGGAAAGAGTATAGGATGGAGAAACTCGGGTAAATGCTAAATGACTCGTTTGATTTGCCAATGATTTACTAGGAGATAACGCGTAATCTGCCTAACATCACATGAACATACTCACGGATCTATTTCCGTTCAACCTTGTAACGATGCTTACTCACCGTCTCATAAATAGATCGTATATACATGAACCTCACAAGAGGTGCTACCAGGACGGCGCCAGCTGTGTAGCGACGCACTCAATCTAACGAAACGATTGCCCTGCCTATATGTCTACCCAGTTCAACTCGAACCTTCCTCCTCTACCCCTCCCTGAGGGCATCGAGTCTAAATATGTTGCGGTGAACGACCTAGTTGTACACTTCCTCGATGCACTTCCGAACAAGCCCAGCACTGATGGCATCATGCCGCCGCTCATTGTCTTGGTGCACGGGTTTCCCGAACTCGCATACTCCTGGCGTAAACTAATGCGCCCACTTGCCAGCCTTGGCTTTCGCGTTGTCGCTATGGACCAACGCGGGTTTGGACGCACCGTACCTAATCTATCCGATAACATCGAGAATTCTACTTATCCTTACGCGTATGGCGGTCCGCTCGCGCTGTTCAGCTTCGCAAACCTCGCACGCGATATGGTTGCGTTCGTGTATGCGTTAGGTTATGAGCACGTCGCGTGTATCATGGGACACGATTCTGGATCCATCACTGCTAGCTCGTGTGCACTCGTTCGACCCGACCTTTTCCGAAGCCTGGTGATGATGAGTGCACCATTCGTCGGTGCACCAGACACGCCATTCAACGTGCCAAACCACACGTCTTTCACGGATGCATTTGCTACTGGATTTCAGCCTAAAGCACTTCCCCCAGGCCTTGCCATGGATGCGATGTTCGCAAAACTAGATCCGCCGCGTATGTACTACCAGCACTACAATTCCCTTCCACAAGCAAACAAACAGATGCACACCGATCTTTCAACCACGGATCTCCACAATTTCTTCCGTGCATACTTCCACATCAAGTCTGCATGCTGGCCAGACTCGTCTTCCTCTCCTTCCGATGTTGAGAAGTATAAAGAACCCCGCGTATTGAAAGGCCTAGTGGACCTCGCTCAACTCCCACCTTACTATCTTATGCCACGCGGAAAGAGCATGCCAGCTAATGTTGGCGAGTACCATCCTCGCGGGGAAGCCCTCGAACGAAGCCGTGCATGGCTGAACGACAGGGACGTTGACGTCTACACCAGCGAATACGGTCGTACAGGCTTCCAGGGCGGATTGAATCGCTACCGTGTTGCTACAAGACTCGGACGCGCAAGTGACACGCTCAACTCCATCTCCGCCTCGGATGAAGATTACATGTCCGAACTTTCACTCTACGCACGAAGGAAGATCGAGGTGCCTACATTCTTCGTTGCTGGAGAGAAAGATTGGGGCCCATTCCAGTACCCTGGCTCATTTGATAAGATGAGGAGTGTTTGCCCGTTGATGAAAGAGGGGAGCGAAGGGATTGCATTTATTAAAGATGCGGGCCATTGGGTCCAGCAAGAGAACGTCAATGATTTATTTGTGTTGCTGCAGGGTTTCTTAAAAGGCTTGGATGTCCAGACGTGAGGTCCTCCTTGTTCAGAAACTGCTATCTTGCGTTTTACTTACAAGCGAATCTCCAGGACTCCTCAGGCATAATATGAAATCTGCTGATTAACGCTGTACGCTCCAGATTATCAAGATAAAAGGTTATCAGAACTAACAAGGCCATTGAAACACAATTCATATTCGAGAAACAAAGCGAAACGAAATGTGTCTCCCTGCGAAGCTGTCTTTCCTCTCAAGCGTCTCGCAGAGTAAGACTACCACAACTCAAACCACATCCAATCTTGCTTAGCTTACAATTGGCACATCCTGTGCTAATCTACCCATGAAAATTGCTATGAAATCATCGAAAGCAAGCGAAAGATTTCACAAAGAGGAAGGTTGTTATCGCTGTAAAAGGCGCATGGTTCACGGGCTCACTGATTTAATCGTTTGAGACTTTACTTGCAGCTATCTCGTAACCTGGCTGACTGCATATGAATAAATTTGGATGGATCTATTTCCGATCAACCTCCGAACGGAAGTGTACTCACACATCATTAATAGATTGTGTATATGACTTCAAGATGGGCCGTAGGAATAGTGCGAGCTACTCAGCAACCCACTTGATCTAACGACTACCCTGCCTATATGCCTACCGATATCAACTCGAGCCTTCCTCCCTTACCCCTCCCCCAGGGCATCGAGTCAAAATACGTTGCAGTTAATGGCCTACTTATGCACTTCCTCGATGCCTCTCCGAATAAGACCAAGACTGATGGTACCAGGCCACCTCTCATTGTCTTGGTCCATGGCTTTCCCGAACTTGCGTACTCCTGGCGCAAGTTAATGCGCCCGCTTGCCGACCTTGGTTTCCGCGTTGTCGCAATTGACCAACGCGGGTTTGGACGCACCATACCCAATCTGACCAATGGCACTGGGAATTCTTCAAGCGGCTATCCTTACACGTATGACGGCCCGCTCGCGCCGTTCAGTTTCTCGAACCGCGCACGCGACACGGTTGCGTTTGTCTATGCTTTGGGCTATGAACGAGTTTCTTGTATAATGGGTCACGACTCTGGATCTATTACTGCGAGCTCGTGTGCACTTATTCGACCTGATCTTTTCCGAAGCCTCGTGATGATGAGTGCGCCGTTCCTCGGTGTACCCGACATTCCGTTTAACATGCCAAATCGCACGTCTTATATGGATGCGGTCGCCGCTGGAAGTCAGCCTAAAGTTTTGCACCCTAGTCTTGCCATGGATGCGATGTTCGCGAAGCTCGACCCACCGCGCATGTATTACCAGCACTATTACTCCCTTCCACAAGCAAACAAACAGATGCATACCGATCTCTCAACCACGGAACTCCACAACTTCTTCCGTACATACTTCCACATCAAGTCCGCGTGCTGGCCAGACTCTTCTTCCTCTCACTCTGACGTTGAGAAGTACAAGGAACCCTGTGAATTAAGAGGCCTGGTGGACCTCTCTCGACTCCCGCCTTATTATCTCATGCCCCGAGGAAAGAGCATGCTGACCACAGTAGGCGAGTACCTTCCTCGTGGAGAAGCCCTTGAACGAAGCCGTGCATGGATGAGTGATGCCGATGTTGACGTCTACGCTGGTGAATATGGTCGTACAGGCTTCCAAGGTGGATTGAACCGATATCGCATTGCTTCAAGGCTCGGACACGCGAGTGACACACTCGACTCCATATTTCTCTCGGACGAGGATCACATATCCGAACTCGCACTCTTTGCGCAAAAGAAAGTCGAGGTGCCTACCTTGTTCGTTTCTGCAGAGAAGGATTGGTGTCCCTTCCAATATCCCGGTGCACTTGATCAGTTGAGGCGTGTTTGTCCATTGATGAAAGAAAGGAATGAGGGGATCGCGTTCATCAAGGATACAGGTCATTGGATCCAGCAAGAAAACAACGTTGAAGAACTTTTCGTGCTGCTACAAGGTTTCTTACAAGACTTGGACGTCCGGGCTTGAATCTCTGCTTGTTCAGAGACTGCCATCTGAATACCAAATCTTCAGGATTGTTATATGCTCCCAGATTGCCGAGAAACTAGTTATCGAGAAAAACATGACCACTCAAACCCAAAACACTCCCAAGGAAACAGAAAAACAAAATGAAAAGAATGGAAATCCCAGAGTACTCTCCTTTTCCTATTAAGCATCTCACAGCCAGGGATATTCATCGCAACACGCGTTAAACTTGCTCCAACTTGACATTGACATCTCCCGTACTCGCACCACCCGTGAACGTAGCCGTGAAGGGTATATCCTGGCCGCACTGTGCAAATGCAGCCTTGATGCCCTCTGTAGCATTCGAATCCAAATTCCACGTGTACCCAAGAAAAATCAAAAGGAAAACAGTGAGCATAACACACAGATCACGCAGACGTCAAAATGAAAGGAAGAAGAGGGAAAAGGGAAGGGGAGACTTACGTTCCCAACGACCCTTAGAAATATTAATCGTCGCACCCTTATCAACAGGCGTAATCGTAAACCTCACGTTCCCAGAGTCGCCCGTCGTCGATGTCGGATTTCCCTGGCAAAATTCGATCGAACCTGCGATGCCACCACAAATCTGCAGCAGCGCAACGTTCACAGTGTGGGAGTCAAGTGCACTAGGAAGACGCAATTCCAAACCCATATTAACGATATTAATATTCTCTGATTCCCGTTATAAAGAAATGCTTACGATGCATTTGAACAAACGACGTTCGACACTGTCTCTTGACGCGAACTCAACGGCGCCGCTGCAGCACTAACACCCAACAATGCAATCGACAAGAATTTGAAGAACATCTTTGCGCGAGGTAGGATACACGGTCTCTTTAAAAACTTCGACAGAAGGCAACGACGATTTGAGAAACGAAGGGGCAACCGGTGCAAGTGCCAAGAGACGTTAAAGCAGGAAACACGATACGAGAAAAGAAGGAGTGCGAGGCAGAGTGAATGGTCAAGAAAGAAAGTACAGCAGAGGCAAAGACTGAACCAGTCAGCAAACAGAATAAGGATGGGAGGAAGAGATCTCAAGTTCCTCCCTTCGGCATTTTATATTCTAGCCTCGAGTATTTTCTCAGACATTTCACCAAAAGACATCAGAAACTCTCACGAGACGTCAGGAACGCCGACAAACCAAGGGAACAAGGAGACGGAGCGTCGGCGCGGGCCAGGCTGTAACGTAGCTACGGAGCCGGTCGCGCTTCTATCGAAATTGTGTACGTAGGAAGTCGTACGCTGAAGATGGAAAACATGTCCAAACAAGGCAAACAAGGCGTTTCCGCAGCCATCATTAGTACTCAGCACGAGAGATAATCAACGATACGTGGAAAGGTTGTGTAGTTCATACAACAATCTTATGGAATTGTGTACACGTGCGAATACCGAAAACGCCCATGCTGGGTAATAATTATGCTATACCGTACCGTACCGTGCCACGACCAAACAAGTCAATCAATAATTCAATTACAAAGCTTATCAACGATACGTTTACAAACTTCCTCAATTTGTCTGGAAATTCTGGAAATATTTCCGTATGATGCTTTTCATTGAAGTAAACAGCTATTTACACGACACAAGAAAAATAAAAAGACAAGATCTGACCACAGACAGAAAAAAGACAAAAGAAAAAGGAAAAGAAAGTGACGAACAGAAAGCAATGCAAATAACACGGACACAAAAAGTGAAATGCACAAAGGACCCCCGACGAATGATTAATGCAGAACGCATAAAAGGAGACATTTTGAGACAACTTAGCAAAGAAACGGGAAATGGGAGAGGATATGCACCAATATTCAAAATGACAGCCCAAAAGAATCACGAACACGACGGATATAGGTCACTGACAGAAAAGACAAGAGATATGTAGCCCCCAAACCTCAAACTTCCAAATTGCCTGAAAACGTACAAAATGAATGATGACTATAAAAATGACAAAAAATGGATAGTCTAAGAACAAAATAAGTAAGAGACAGAATCTCCCCAAAACAACGCAAACGACAACTGCAGCCAAGTAATGGTGATGATGATTTGAATATGAAAGATGGAAAGGTGCTTAGAAGGAGCAGTAAATAGATGCAATGCAATGATGTTGGTGACCAAGAGAAAATAATAGCTTAGAAGAAAGAAGGACGAGGAGAGTTGAATCACGAAATGGCATCCCCATCCACGTTCAGCCGTACGTGTGTACGGCCCTCATCAGAGTGAGTTTTGTGCGGTACAGCAGGCCGTTGCGCACTCTCTGAGTCCAAACTACCATGACGCGCTACAGGTCGATGATTCGCGGCGTCATCAGATTCCGTGCGCTGCAAACCCTTCTTTGCGTCTGACGCTGCTGCGGCAGCATACGACGTACTTCCACACTTCGAGGGTCGCGCCTTGGGTGGCGAGCCAATACTAACAGACGCAATGTCATTCGCCAACCCGTCCAGCGCCGAAGCAGCATCTGCAGTTGCATTTTCGTCACTCGATCGCCATGATGTCGCACCTGAGCTGGAACTCCTCGCACGTTCAGCATCTGTATCTTCTCCATTAACATTCTCGCTGCTCGTTTGCGCAGAGCCAGAATCATTCCGCTCGTGAGCAGTTCGAGCATCTGTGTTATATCCATCCATGTTCATTGTGCTTCCATCTCTCAAAATCTCATTTGCCAGTCCAGAGCTTCCGAGTGCAGAAACGGGTGGGAAATACCCTTCATGTCGCGGTGCTTGCGGAGGTGCAGCATTGACAGGAGGGAAGTACCCACTTGGCTCCTCACCATAAGGCCCCGCATTAGGATTAGGCTGATAATATGGGCTACCAGGTTGGCTCCCTGGAAGGGGAAATCCATATGGCGCGTGAACAAGAACAGGTGAGCCGACCGCAGGGTTTAGATACGACCCACGGCCAGCAGTTCCATTGGGTCGCCCGTAGTACGCACCCGGACTCATAGCTGCACCAGGTGTGAATGGTTGGAACACATGATGAGGGAAGTGCATCGGCGGGCTCATCATCGGCATCATACCCATGCCTCTCTCCGTACCCGACTCACCAGGTGGCCCGGACGCATATCCACCTTGCGGAAGTGCACCACCTTCCGCAGGTGTTGGAGGAATCGCGCTGCTACCGCCCGTCGCACCACCCGGCGAAGGCTGCGGGACGAACGAAAAGCTTGGCATACTCGGTGTAATTGGCGGTAGTCCATGTGGAGTCATATTATGCGGGTGCATATGAGCTGGAAGCGGGTACGGATGCATCGGACTCATTGGCCCGTAGGCGGCATAACCTCCATAAACGGCAGCAGGAGGAGACATAGGATGGCCTTGTGGGGAAAGGGGATGATGGTGAGGTGAATAGACGGGAAATGATGTCACCGCTGGTGGCGGCGGAAGCGAGATCGGACCAGGATGTGCTGGATGTGATGAGCGCGGCGAAGTAGAGGAAGATGCAGTCGAAGCCTGTGATGAATGATTGGACGTTGATGTTGAAGGGGATGCAGAAGCTGACGCTCCAGCAGATGATAATGTCAGCACCGCAGATGATGTTGCTGGTCGTTTTGATGGTGGAGATGAAACTTCACCTGACGTTGCAACGGGCGCTGATGCCGACGAAGCAGGCAAAGACTGACCAGCTGGTCTCTTAGGCTTCGTTGGTGACGACGGTGAAGTGCTAGCCTCATTTGTTATCGACGTACCCGCCGCCCTCGTCATGTTAACACTTCGGCCTTCCGCATTTGCGCCAGAGCCTGAACCGGGCCGACTGGAGGGCCCTGGTACGGATCCAATTGGAGGAGGAACTTTTTGTCGACGCTCCGCAAGGCCTGGACTAGTTCCTACGACATGATGGCTGAATGGTGAGGCAGACGATTCGCCCAGTTGTAAGGTAGTACTCGTTGCTGACTGCGCATCAGATCCGGTCAGAGACGACCGCCTCTGTAATGAATCTTGCAACACCTGTAGACTTGAGTCAAGTGTTTGCCCCTGTGCAGGCGTCGCAAATCCACTGGCATTGCCAACACTGCCGTTGCTGCTGCTACTATTGTTCGCGCTGGCGTTGCTTAAGTTACCGTAGCGATCAAGCGTTTGACCAGCGACGAGTTGTTGGAGCTGTATAGCCTGACGAATGGTGGCTTGCGTGGAAGCCGCTCCCGTCTGCACAGGAGTCGCAAGTGTCGAGGGATGCGCCGAGTTCGGTGGAGGAAGCGGAGACTGTGCACTGAACTTGTCATAGTGCACCTTAAGCACACGACCATTGTAATCGAACCTGTACCTTTTCATGAACTCCAGAATAGAATACTAAGACAGAAGTGCATACCCGTTGAACATTGCTACTGCTCTTTCTGCGTCGATTTCGTTGGCGTATGTTACCGTTCCAAACCCTCTTGAGCGTCCGTCCGGACCCAGCGATACATCAGCTCGCAGGATAGTGCCTGCTTGTCGAAACAGGTCTTTTAAATCTTGCCACTGACAATGAAACGGTAGCTAATAGGGCAAAATGTTATAGATTATTGAAGTCCCAAAAGTGCATATATGCACACTTACATTGCCAACGAAAAGGCTGCGCATGCCAAGGTTCGACCTGGGACGCTCCTTTTCAAAGTCTACACTCAATCCGCGACCCAACCCAAGGTATGGATCTAAACCTCCAAGCCCAGATAGGGCCGGAGCTGCCGCTTGGTTTAATAACGCATCTTCCCTTTCTCGTTCTTGTTGTTGAAGTGCTAGTAGCCCGGGGTTAAGTGTGTTAATTGGTGAATTGGATGAGAAAGTACTAGGTAACGTGGTAGAAAGAGAGGAACTTGGAGGAGGGGGAATAGGGCTTGCGCCAATGCCCTGAGGAGTTCCAGAAGACTGTTGGGCAACAATTGAGAGAGCAGGGTGCGGCGAAGGAACATGTACGCCATTCAACGCGACAGATGCGATTCCACCCAGGCTTGCATTCAGCCCGTTTATGTTCACGCCTATCGGTAAGCCGGGTAACGGTGCTCCCGGGATAATAGCAGCCGGATTAGCATCCATGTCTGCACCAGGAACAGCTCCGAGCCTGTCGAGGCGGACTTCTAACACACGACCTTGCCAGTTGTAGCCGTTGAACATGTCGACAGCACGGCCAGCGTCTTCTGCCGACGCGAGGAGGACGGTGCCATAGCCACGCGAGCGATTGTCGGGGCTAAGCGAAACGTCAGCGCGGAGGACGGTACCGGCGCGGCGGAAGAGGTCCTTGAGGTCCTGCCAGCGGACGCGATAGGGAAGCTGGATAACGCGATGACAAACACAAAAATAAACACGTCAGAAGCCGATCCGAATTTCTTTATTTAGCGGGAAGCCACGAGAACTCGATCAATTGAGAAGCGGAAATCATCGAGGGCGTTTCTTCCGCAGCTCCACTCCAACACATTCCTGGAGACGCGCGCGTGGCACTGCCAGACGCATGGGCATGGGAAGGACAAGGGAGGAGTTACTCACGTTTCCTGCAAACAGCTGCGTCCGCGTGTCCTTTCCGGGGGGTGGTCGTCCATCAGGAGTCGGGATGGTCGAAGTTGCTTGCTTGATCACTGCCTCCACCTCTTCATCGCTCGGCAAGGCAGTCGGTGCTGTCGAGGTTACGCTCGCGGACGGACTGCCCGGTGACGTATGGCCGGATGTCGGAGTCGGAGACAGAGAAACCGTGTTTGGAGAGGTAGGTAGGGTCTTCATGCCCGAATTCTATGAAAACATTTGACGACAGGAAAACCCAAGATCCGGGAGAAAAAAAGAAATAGGTTAACTCCTGCATACTGCTGGGAATGAAAGTAGGCGTACCGGGAGCAGAGTAGTCATCGTCGTCTAGCGAATTGTGTTGGGATATATCCACCACGACGGAAAGGAGGGAGACGGGGGAGGGAGTGGCGGCACGACGCGTCGTGCTGCGATGAATTCTCAATCGAGCTTAGCGCCAGTAGTACTAGTCGAGAGACTCGTCGTCGATGGTGTTAACTGCGAAAGCACTGTCGCCGATGGTGTCGACGATGGGAGAAAAGAGACGAGAAAAGGGAGGGACAGGGCAGACGGAAGGAGATACGGCGGGAGTGGTGGTATGTCAGGAAGGACGAAACATAGCCTACAGAGAGTTAGGGTCCTTAGACTGTGGAGCATCGACTAACAGGGTAAACGTCATCAGCAGATCCTTCCCTCTTCTTTTCTCCCGCGCCCTCTCCACCTAACAACCCGCCCCACCACATCTCTGGCCATCGCGCACAGCGAGCAGCAAGTAAATCGCGACGCGTCGAGCGTGCTCAGACCGCGCGAGGTTACCCATTTCAAGAAATCAGGCGTCACGATGTTGCTTCGACTCGCCCTGAAGATCCCTGTACCGTCATTCACGGTCTAGACTCTTCCGTAGCCTTTCCATCACTCGTTCCGTTAAATCGGGCTCATCTGTTACTTTGTGTTGATTGGCCCAGAAGTATCCTGTAATAGCCTTCCGTGGTCACAAATTCCCTGCAGCATTTCGCTTGCATTTTTCGTCCTATCAACGATTGTCCCGTGTCGAGCGCTTTTAGGTGTCTGCCGCTTCGGCTCATAATTCCATTTGGGGCAGAGCAAGATCCTTCAATAAAACAAGTCACGGGCCCCTCGGCGCTCTTATTTTCTACATCGCAATTTCGCAGCTTTTACAGTCGCATTGATCACATGTTTGATCGACAGAAATTGTCAATACGTCGCCAGTTATTTGTCTTCAAGGAACTCTATGTAGGTCGGTAGTCATGCAACAGACACAGCTTGAAGCATGGATAGTTCCACGGATTTCATCTACTGCAAAGCTCCACAGTTATTCGTTGAAGCAGTTTTGCAACATTTGCCTTTTTAGGATCCGTTTCACCACCTTATCACTAACACTCTTTTTACTTTGGGTTACAACATCATCATGATTTATACAGCCAGATGACCAGAAGCACTGCCTCACGTCCTGTCTGTTCTCACTTGTTATTATATTGTGAGGGATACTCATCCCCTCTGTAGAACTGTTCCAAACTTGTGCCTTGGAGAAAGGTGAGCACAACTGTCGAAACTCAAGTTCAACACTTTTTCTGAATACCATTATTATATTTTTGTTTACAGCATGTCAAAGTAGGAACCAGTTGTGCATTTCCAGGGTTAATAGTAGAAACAGATTGTGTACTGAGATGTACTGAGATGCAACTCACAGGCATACATAGTTACAACATTTGTGCCAAACAGGCATTATTAACTATAATATTGGCTTGTATGTGTGCAGGAATCTTATTGTGTAACAGGACAAGGATATTGTCACTTTGACTAAAATCAGGCAAGTTCTAACAGATAATATGTGCTTGATGTACATTAACTGATGCACAAAGCTAATCAACTCATTTGTACTTTCAGGATTGTATAATAGAGCATATTGTAGATAATGTTACAGTTCTCTACTCTTGTACCTTCAGTTCCAAGGGTTCTGTACCCTTCTGTACTGGAACTTAGGACTTCTGTCCCTCAGGAGCACTGTCTATAGACTATATGTGTGCTGACTCTTACTACTACCCTTCCTTACTTTATCATTCCATTCCTTTGACCACCCCTTCATTCTTTGTTCATTCTATAGTCTCTTACCCTTTGTCTATCCCTTCATTCTTTGTACCTTTATCTTTGACATTCCTTTCTTTCATTCTTTGTGGCTTATCATTCTTAAGTGGCTCATACTCCCTGAGTACTCTTGTGTAGTTTAGTATATATAGGTGTATAAGATCAGACTGGTCCTGTAGTCTTGATCTTGTCTACTCTAAGTAGTCCTGTACTCTTAGGCTCACTCTATATACTCTACTCTTGTCTCACTCTCTCTCTCTGCCTGTTCTACAAGTTCTGACTATGTTCTAGTACTTGTGTTCTATATTTCTGTTGTGTAGGATAGTTGTAGCCTGGGTCCCCTTGCTGAGCCTTTAGGTCCCCTCTATACTGTTACTGACATTAGATCAAGACTACTTATTACCACCCTACAACTCTCTTATGTTTTGAGCATTAGTACTTACTATTGTATCAATCTCTTTTCTTTGTCTTAACCCTTTTACATTTTTAAATTTTAAACTTTCTAAACCCTTTTAAACTTTTACCACTCTTCTTCTATTTATTACCCCTTTTAGTTTAGTACCAATTCCTTTGTAGTGTAAACATAGACCCTCCTACACTGACTGCCACCCCTACTGTCCTACCAGATTAGTAGTTACAAGCAGAACTAGCTTAATACATGTAAACCTCTATCTAAGAGGCCTTTACTAACTACATGCTCTCAGCCCCTTCAGAACCTGTTCTAATCATTCTAGAAGTTATAACCTGTTCTAGAAAGAAAGTACATATAGCCTACTCTTCAGACTTTAATGAGTAGCACTTTAAGGACTTCTAGTACTAAGTCAAACTATATGTAGCTACTGTTTCAACCAATCTATCCTCAAATCTCAATTGTATCCTATTTGTCCTCTCCTTCATGAAGGAAGGTAATACAGCCACCTAGGCCCAGAACTGGATCAAAGGCTATTAGATTGGAAGCCTGATCCAACTTCAGAACAATGAGTTGTATTCAGAATTTATAGGGTAGCTCTGTACTTCCTTCATTAATCTAAATGAGAAGTGTAATATACAGAACAAACTTGTGTCTCTATAATAGGACAAACATTCTACTAATACCTTCTTTCAGGAGTTCAATATCCTAGCCCAGAAGGTAGGATTCATACTCAGGTTTAATAATGTCCTTATTAGAATACTTAAAAAAGCTCTTTACTCAGAACTGGTTAATAAGATTCTTAGAATAATACTAGAACTAGTCACTTACACTGAGTAGAAGATGTACACTATTTCCTTTGACTAAGCTATAGTCTAAATGTGTTAAGTCTGTACAGAATACTTGTACATGTGTCTGACTCTAACAGTTCTGAGCCTTTAGATTGATCCACCTATAATTCACAATCAATCTGTTCTAATAGACATTAGAGAAGCCTAAAAGTAAGGAGTATACTTTGCCTGTAGAAAGTCAGAGCACCAAATTAAGGACTGTCTACAGAAGTAACAGTACATCTGTCAGGTCATTAGAGTAATAACAAGTGACAAGCAGGATTTGTAGTAAGAAGCCTTTTCTACAAATCCAGAAGCTACCTTAGAACTCTTAGACTCTGACTATATACTCTAGGATTTTGTAGAGGCCTAACAGTAAATGTAGTACTAAAGGGTTATGACTCAGATTTTTTAATAGCTACTTTTGATTCAATAGACACTATAGGATTAGAAGTAAATAAAGTAGAAAAAGTAGAAAAAGTAGAAAAAATAAATTAACAAAATTATTTATTAGAAAGAAAAAAGTTAAAAACAAAAGTAGATAGTTCTCCTATTTCTCCTGATTCTTTTGATTCTTCTCTTTACACTTTATCTGAGTCTAAATCTGTACAATCTGACCTGCTAGTTTTACATTCTAAGATCTCAGAACATTCAGAATACTACCTAGCCCTGTTTACTACTTAGTAGTTTGTTTATAGTATTAAGTAAGGATAGTCTTAGCTGAGTTTACAGCTGAGAACATAAGTCTGTCCTTGTTGAAAGAGAGAGGTTAATAAGGAAATGTTAGTACATATACTCACCCTCTTAGACAACAAGACTGTACAAGCTGTACATTCCCTTTAGAACAAGTAGTAGTTCATCTAAGAATGTTCTAAGTACTAGCTCTAAGTTCCTATCCTCTTAGCTCCCTTCTTAGGATCCCCCCAGATCCAAACAATAGCTCTAGTAGATAGTAGATACACTAGTTTGTACATTAATAAGGCCTTCATGTAGAAACACTACCTCTCTACTTAACATGTTCTACTTCTGATCCTAGTATATAATGTAGACAGAACCCTGAACTAGAATAGTTGGATTACTAAGTTTGTCCAACTACAGATGACTATTCAGAATCATAAGGAAAGTATTGAGTTTAGAGTTACTAACCTTAGAAAGACAGACATCTTTATTAGATTCAAATGGTTTAAGGCTCACAACCCTACTATTGACTAGTTAAAGTAGACACTTGTGTTTGATTAGTGTCCTAAGTCTTGTAGCTACCTTACACTACTGTTCTGAGTAGATACAAACACTTCTAATGTTACTAACAGTTCTAATGAAGGTGACTAGTTGTTCTTCTTTAACTAGGATAGATATATAGATACATATTCTAGTCAAGACAGAATAGAGTCAATCTGAAGGATGTCTGAGACAGAACCAGTCTAGAACCCTCTTAGAACAACTCTACTCTAAAACACACATAGACCTAGCCTGCTAGATTTTGTCTAAGAGTTCTCTAAAGTCTTTAGTAAAGAGGAATTTAACTAGCTTTCTAAACACTGTCTCTAGGACTATACAATTGAATTGACTAAGGGTTTCTAACTTAAGGATTGTAAGGTCTACCTACTTAATAGAGACAAGTAGGAGGCACTTGACAAGTTCCTTTAGGAAAATCTTCAGAACAGCTAGACCCAACCCTTAAAGTCCTCTATAGTCTCCCCTTTCTTCTTTGTAAAAAAGAAAGATAGAAAGCTTTACTCAGTCTAGGATTATTGTTGTCTTAATAAGAGTACTGTCAAAAACAAGTACCTACTCCCCCTAATTCAGGAGCTCATTAATAAGATGTATACATCTAGGGTTTTTACTAAGTTGGACATTTGATAGGGATACAATAATATTTGGATCTAAGACAGAGATGAGTAGAAGACTGTATTCTAAACCAATTGTGGATTGTACAAACTGACTGTAATGTTCTTCAGACTAACTAACTTACTTGTAACATTCTAGTCATTCATGAATCACATTCTTACAGATCTGATTAACTTAGAGTATGTTAGTGTGTATCTAGACAACATTCTGATCTTTACTCAGACAGTTGAGTACTATTACTAACTAATCTGAGTAGTTCTACAACAGCTCTAAGATAATAAACTGTTCCTCTAAGAAGTAAAGTACTCTTTTACACAAGAGTCAGTAGATTATCTGAGCTTTGTAATCAGTAGAGGAGAGGTCTGTATGGATCTAGCAAAGGTAACTACAGTTCAGAACTAGCTACAACCTTAGAACCTGAAACAGGTCCAAGCATTCCTTAGGTTTGTAAACTACTACTAATACTTTATTTAAGACTTTAGTACTATTGTCTAGCTCCTTCACAATCTCACCAGCAAAAATGTTCCTTAGTAATAGGAGGATTAGTAACAGTCTGTGTTTGAGTCTCTAAAGTAGACTATTACTAGCAAGCTTGTATTAGCAGTTCTGACAGTTGTAGACAAGTTCTAAGTCAAAGCTAACTCTTCCAACTTTACAAATAGAGTAGTACTGTCTTAATTCATTAATGGAAAGTAGTGTCTAATAGTATTCTAATCAGAATCCCTCTCTATAACAGAACAGAACTACCTTATCTATAATAAGGAACTCCTTACAATTGTTACAATTCTCTACTCTCTTACCTTTAGTTCTAAGAGTTCTGCACCCTTCTGTACTAGAACTTGGGACTTCCATCCCTCAGAGGTGCTGTCTA